TGGTCTATTCTCCCTACCCACTACTGTCAGCAACACTTTTCCTCTTTGATGATTGGTAAACAGTATTGGAGAATCCCCAGGCTAGCTTTACACTTCTATTATGTGCATAAGACTCTTTCTTAACTCACAAATGAATCTTGGAAGAGAGCAGCATGCTGCAGAGATGCCTCTGGACCCTGTGCCAGGCAGATTTCACTGGGGCACCTCAGAGAAGAATAGGCATAGTCCCTCGCCTGCTCCAAAGGAACCCTGGCAGACGCAAATCTCCAGAACCCAATAAAAAAAAACCCAGGTATGTGGGAGCAGTGACTGAAAACTCCAGGCCTTACAGAGTCAGAAATGGGCCACCACTTCCCATCTCCCTGTCCTTCCGCTTTCCTGGCTGTCACTTCCACAAACTACCTCCGGGTGCCATTTAAGCACCTTAATGGCCATGATCCAGAGACTCACAAATGAATCTCAGAAAAGAGCAGCATGCTGCAGAGATGTCTCCAGACCCCAATTATTTAAAATTATAGAATTTTAAGGGTGCGCAACTGCAAAAGCGGCCACACGACATCTCATACTATTCATAACAAGCAATACAAAATCAATTATTTAGCATCTGCCTGCGGGGCAGTCTTAAGTGGTGGTGGGAAAATTCAAAATAATGGTGGTGGGAAGGTATAATGGTGGTGAAATTGGTGGTTAAATATTGAACGTAATCAATTATTGTAAACAACTTTATGAAAATAAAATTAAAAATTATAAAAGACTGTGTGTCTCATATATACATATATACACACACACCCCAAAAAACTCTTTCCAATACAAAAAAACCCTTTTACCCATTTCCCCCACACCCTGCTCTGCTTCCTTCCAATAACCACCATTTCCCACCAAATTTAGTGATTCCCCTTTTATTGGCAGGGACATACCTGGAACTGGTGTCAAGGCTTTTTCTGTTAGGGTGAGTCCTAGCATCGCATGCTAGGCTTATTCATGACTCTGTGCTCAGGGATCACTCCTGACAGGGCTCAGGGGACCATATGGAATTCCAAAAATTAAACCCAGGTCAGCTGAAATCAAGGCCAGCCCCTACTGTGGTGTACTATCATTCCAGCCCTTACTGGACCCTTTTGTTGAGAAACATTTTTCTTGGCCTCTACCACGTAGATCCTTTGTAAATAAATCTGAGAGATATCTTTTAAGAATGATTGGTTTGTTTATTGTGAACAGTTCAGCAATGAACATACAAGTGCAGATGTCATTTTGACCATACATTTTTGCCTCTCCAGGATATATTCCTAGGAGTGGTATTGTTGGGTCAAATGGGAGCTCAATTTCTAAATTTTTGAGAATTGTCCATACTGTTTTCCAAAAGGGCTGAACCAGTTGGTAATCCCACCAGCAGTGAAGAAGAGTCCCTTTCTCCCCAAATCCGCGCCAACACTGGTTGCTTTTGTTCTTTGGATGTGGGCCAGTCTCTGTGGTGTGAGATGATATGTTGCTGTTTTGATCTGCATCTCCCTGATGATTAGTGATGTAGAGCATTTTCTCATGTGCCTTTTAGCCATTCGGATTTCTTCTTTGACAAAGTTTCTGTTCATTTCATTACCCCACTTTTTGATGGGGCTGGATGTTTTCTTCTGGTGGAGTTCAACCAGTGCTCTGTATACCCAACTCGAGTGCCCGAGAACAGATGACTGATTAAAGAAACTGGTACATCTACACAATAGAATACTATGCAGTTGTTAGAAGAGATGAAGTCATGAAATTTGCATACAAGTGGTTCTACATGGAAAGTATCATGCTAAGTGAAATAAGTCAGAGAAGGACAGACAAAGAAAGACTGCACTCATCTGGGGAGTATAAAGTAACAGAATGGGAGACAAACACCCAAGAATAGTTGAGATAAGTACCAGGAGGTCTGCTCAATGGCTTGGAAGCTGGCAGCACATGCTGGGGTAAAAGGCAGCTCAGATAGAGAAGGGAACACCAAGTAAAGATGTTTGGAGGATTGTCTCGGGATGCGAGATGCGTGCTGAAAGTAGGCTATAGATCGAACATGATGGCCACGCAATACCTCTACTGCAAACAACAACACCCTAAAGGAAAGAGAAAGCAAAAGGGAATGCCCTACCACTGAGGTGGGGTGGGGTGGGGGTGGGGGAATGGGCTACTGCGTTCGTTGGTGGTGGAGAATGGGCACTGGTTGGGCACTGGTGGAGGGATGGGTACTCAATCATTGTATAACTGAAACCCAAGCACGAAAGTTTGTAAGTCTACAACTGTACCTCATGGTGTTTCACTAATTAAAAAAAAAGAATGGTTGGTTTGAAGGAATGTAAAAAGATAGCTTTCCACTGACCTCAGCATCTCAATCTAATGTAAGTTTCTTGTACAATTGAATTTTTCCTGAGAAGCTAGTGTTTTGTGCTTATGGTCTTTGGGACTCAGTGCAGTCCCATATACTGAAGGGCAGAGCAGAGCTCATAGTTAAATGCAGCTTACCTCTCACAATTGTGCTCATGCCTGGACTCATTTTCTCTTCAAATGTTTAGTTTCGTTTAGTAAAAGTTTTCTTAGTTATTATAGCTGGTCAAGTGGTATATATCTTCTCAGGTTGCCTTAATTCATTACTACATAAGCATAGCAGGTGGCACTATAATACATACTGTTGACCTTTGAAGAGATCTGTCCCACTTGATGTGATTCTATATATATCAAAGGATTACCAAAGAGTGTGTTTTGGGGGAAGATTTAAAATATAGATGAGAGTGGAGGAGGATGGCAGATTATGCTTTAATTGACTTGCCAAATCGGAAAGGCCATACTGACATACAAATAAATGTGTATATAAATATCTACAGGTAAATAGCAAAGAACATTTAACCATAGCACTGTAGCACTGCCCTCCCATTGTTCATCCATTTGCTCGAGTGGGCACCAGTAACATCTCACAACAAATTGTGAGACTTGTTGTTACTGTTTTTGGCATATTGAATATGTCACAGGGAGCTTGCCAGGCTTTGCCGTGCAGGCGAGATATTCTCAGTAGCTTACCGGGTTCTCCGAGAGGGGCGGAGGAATCGAACCCGAGTCAGCCGCGTGCAAGGCAAAGGCCCTACCAGCTGTGCTATTACTCCAGCCCACGTTTAACTATAGAATCTAAAAACACAAGTGAATCATACTGCTTTCCAACAATAAAAATTTTATGTAAATTTATCAAAAGCAAATCTCTATATAAGTCTCCATATAATCTCCATATAATTAGTCTTACTTATTTATAATATGACTAATAATTAGCAAATAATTGGCTTAACCTCCTAACTATATTTCTAAGTGACTTTAGGCATTTTCAGCAAGATGTCCCCAAAGTGCTTTAAGCTCAAAATCTTCTGAACTGAACCCAACTGTGGAAATCTATGCTTTTGTTCCCTAGGGACTTGCATTACTTGGTCATCTGGTCCTGTTTAGATATGAAATTTCTGTGTCCCAACTACCTAACACCAATGCCATTTCAGATCTTATTTCTCCCCTTTATTTGAGGTCTGTCTTAAGTGTATATGTACTCGTGGGCATCCATAAAACCATCGTGGTGTAAGTGAGTCAACACAAGTAAATTCTGGGATAAACTAGATAGCATATACAAGTTAGCTCTTGTTATTATTTTTACTATTATTTTAGACTCAAACTCAAATTTCTGCCATGGTCATAGAGCTTCATTATCATGTATCTAAAATTGTAGGGAAGGATGGAGGTGCAGTGTGCAGAAGGTCTGGGGACCCCTGTGGCAATTCTATGCCAACCAGGCTGTCAGTTCAAAGTAAGGTCCAGAGAATATGATGCTGCTCAGGCTCTGCAATACCAGGATACCGGGGCTCTCCCAGTGATGATCAGGGAGCTTCCAGAGCCATACCCAGTGGTGCTGAGTGGACCATCTGGTGCCAAGGATTGAACCTAATAGCCACATTTTCTTCCAGTCAGCCCCATGGATCCTAACATAAAATGTAAAACAAGAAGCTTCTTATATTAAGATCTTAAGGTTAGCTCCCTTGTTCCAGGTCACCTTTACCATGTCTGTGTGACCACAGGCAGAAACTCAGGGCTCACACTTGTTAGAAGAGAGACAGTACTAGGATCTGGCACCTTGATAAGAGAGGTTCACTTCACTTCCGGTTTCTCCCTTCATCACTTCCAGCAACAGCACCATTTCCCTGAACCACACACTGACCCTGCCACTTGCAGTGTAAGAAAACTTCATCACATTAGATCAGCTATAGAAAAGAGGGTTCATTCCCTTGAGAGAATGAAGAAACTAACATAAATTGGAAAAGAGCTAGGATCTGTGAAGTTTTGTGCTCTACTATATTTACTGAGAAAAAGAAAGGAGAAGAAAGAGCAAGGATTGAAAGTTTCAGTCACATGATATGGATTCAAATACATCCCTATCACATGATGAGATCTTGTTGCAATTATTATATTGCTACAAACTTCAGCATTAAAAAATCTGTAAAATAATATAACAATAGCTCATAGGATCGTAAGACAACACATAATTTTTAACAAATGGCAGCACTTGATATGACAGCTTTAGAAAGTCTCTGAAAGCTTTTCATGGATGAATTATTTATTTTCCTTGGCTGGGGATCCAGTACTGTGGGGGCAGTCAAGATGCCCTTGGAAACAGCACCATGGTTTGAACTTGCAGCCTTGTGCCTGCCAGACGAAGTCACTAAGCCAACTTCCAGACTCTTAATGAATTTCTAACACTTCTGGGTTAGAGAAGACTTGAAAGAAAAGACACCCAAACTGGGAGGGAATATAAATAGAGTTTCCTATGTTCTGGCTGGAGCAGAAGCAGAACTGGGAGAGCTAAGAAAAGGCCAAAGAATGAAGGAATGAAGCAGATGACTTTTTTTTTTACTTCCCAAATAATACTGCAAAGTTTTATCCACCACTAATTGCAACCAACTTTATTTCCATAAGATAGCACATGCACAGACCATACAACACTCAGAAAACGAAAGCAGCACCTTTATTTTATACATACAAACAGTATAAAGTGTTTATTATGTAAGGGCTGTGTTTTGTTTACAATATATTATATTGCTTCAGCCAATGCAAAAAAGTTCATACATTATAATCCTTATTTTACTGTTTTTACAATATATTATATTGTTAAAATGCCACTACCACAGTGTTATTTCTTTTTCTTCTTTTACTACTGAATTCTCTGGAATCATGATAAGGTCAAAATACGCTGTATTGAGAGATTTAAAAATAAGAGCAATTTTCAAATGTGACAAACGTCTTCATACTTGATGGTAAAATTTGAAATGCTGTAACTTCAGCAAATTTACTGCTTCATTCCCATCCCTGTGACTTATGCATTTTTGTTCCATTTACCTTCATTAATGTTGCCTCAGCCCCAACACCACAAATCCATTGTAATTTTGGAAAGTATCCACCAACTACACATTGAAAAGACAAATTTTTAACTTGATCAACTGACATAACATAAGATCTGTCCCAAAGCACTGAAACAAGAAAATCTATACCATCATGCTACAGACATACTTAGAAAACTTAAAAGGAAGAGTAAATATCAGCCCAGTGATTTATAATGAAGCTAATAAAATTCAGGCCAGTATTCTTAACTGTAATGAACATTATTTGAACATTCAACACATGAAAGGTTAACAAAGGCTATGAACTTGGTGTAACTTAAAACGTTTCAGATGTCGGAGTTCACCAGACGTAATTGGATTCAGGTGGATCCTGTCGCTCCTCGGCCTTTTTAACTGAAGGCGTGTACAGCCTGAGTCGGGTGCCGGCTGGCCCCAGGGCATGCAGGAGGCTGGCTCCGTATCCTGCAAAATTATTCACAGCTTAAAAGAAAAGAAACTACAAAAACAGACTCTTCAGATTACTTATTAACCATTCAAATGAAATCCATTTTCCCTCTGCAACCCTGAGTGCACAGCCACAGCGACCACCAAAGGCTACCTGCAGGACGAGATGCTACAGGCCCAAGATCTCTCCTAAGATCTCAAAAGGATTTTAGGACAGGTGATTAAATTATTCAGCCCCACCCGTTATCGTACAACCATTCCTTGGCAACGTTTATGAAAACCAGGCATAGTCTACTGTCGAGTTTTGACACCAGACATACATGGGGTAGGACAAATGTTCATCCTTTGTTATGAGGAGAGTCATTGATGCTGATGAGTCTGGTACTCGGCTGCTTTGATTTTTGAGTATTGTCTCTGGTAGTACTGATTTTGGATTATGATACTTTGGGGCTTGAGTTTGTTAATAATTCTCATTTGTTCCTTGTCCTTGGGCAAACCAGTCAATTTATCTGAGCTAGATACACTTAGGGATTCAGGTAATTTATCTGTTCCTTGAGAAAATTCTAGTGCTGGGATCTACCTAAATCTTACTTCTGCCACTCCAAATCCTCTGAAATTTCCTCCCAATTCTCCGTAGAAGATAGAATTTGAGTGTTCCCTCTTATGGGGATTCCATTTCTTTCCTCGATTATTGCTTAGAAGCATTTATCATAAAATCTTCCCAAGCATAAAATCTTCCATGTGTTAAAAGGAAAAAAAAACCCTACAGGAACAGAACATAATAGCTGGACAAATTATCTTGTCAGAATGGAAATAGTATTAACTAATTTAAAGACATGGCATTTAAAAACTTAAAGGAAACCCATTTTATTCCATTAGATCTGGATTTTATTAAATCTCTGAATCACTGTATATTATGGCCTGCACAAATTCTTTATGCAAAGTTTCGATGAACGTCTGGATGACTGGAAGGCTGTTCCCTACCCAAGAATTGCTAAGAATCTAGCACTGAAATCTCAAATGCAGAGACGTTTTTGCAGGGGATCGAATCATTGATCTTCTCACTATGTTGCAAGGACAGTTTTGTGACTCAATGTTGCAATTCAGTATAATAACCCACTTTATTGATATTGATATGATATTGTTATTGATATTAATACGATATTAAATGATGTGGAGCAACCACTGAATTTATAGAAAATTGGAATTCTGTAAGAATCAAGGAACTTCTGTTATATAGTACTGTAGCACTGTAGCACTGTCCTCCCGTTGTTCATTGATTTGCTCGAGCTGGCACCAGTAATGTCTCCATTGTGAGATTTGTTTTTGTTGTTTTTGTCATATCGAATAAGCCACAGGGAGCTTGCCAGGCTCTGCCGGTTCGATTATATAGGTTAGAAAAAGACTTATGGCTTGAAATCACTCCTTTTAATTAGATGTGTGATTTTCTCTTAGGATGATCATGTAAGCTGGAGAAACAGCTCAAAGGACAGAGCACCACTTCCCTGAGTACTGCCAGGAGTTACCCTGGTGCAGTCATCCTGAACAATAAACCGAGATTAGACCCTGAGCTTCACTGGCTATGGCCCCAAAGCCTCTCACCCACAAAAGGCACCATCCATTTCCAGCTTTAAGTACTAAGTGGAGAACTTGAGACTTTTATTCCTCTGTGAACGATTAGAGGCCCTCAAGGCCCTGATTTCTACTGATTTCCTAGAATTGAAAAAAAAAAATCTGCCTCTATCCCTTGGTGCCTTAGTCAGTCAGGTTTGGCATTACATTTGTTCCCGTGGTTTTTAACTGAGAGTATGCCACTAAATAACTACTGAGAACAGAATACTTTATTCCTCAATGAGTTCCTTTGAATTGTCAGTATGTAGGCTAGTTGCTCACAGAATGGTCAAAACATGAGCCAACAATGCACTGGAATAAATCCCTACCCTTCTGCTTGTCCTGCCACCCATGAAGCCCAAACCTCCCTGCTGGAGTCTGTCTGCAGTCTCCTCCTCCCCACAGGATGTCCGGGTGCCCGGGACCTCCCAGTGTGTCACCCCACTGGGAGTCTGCTCTGTGCCACAGAGCTTCCTGTCACCTCCCTTTTGTCAAAATAAACTCATTCTTTCAGCTTGATTTCCTTAGTGGTGTACAGAACGACTGGGTGGCCGCTCCTGCAGGCACACAGTATTTCAGTGAAGCACCAGTTTCACCTTTTTGATCTGATGCAGGTACACGATGGCAAAAGCCTTTACCAGCTCAGTTCCTGGGAAGATGGAGATGTTCTGTGGGGACTGGTGAACCTATTATAATTGCTCCCCTTGTCTACTTAAGGGTCCCTAACTTTCTCTATTTTGGGAAAAATGACAGGCTCTTTCAGCAGGAGGAGGTAATCCTGTGCTCCTGTCACTCTCAGTACTCTCCAGAGAGGAGTCCCAGAGCCCCTTGGAAAATGAAGACCTGGGATGCTGAGTTTGACCTCAGGTCATACACAGACCTCAGGATTTCTTGGAAGTTAATTTTTTAAAAAATTTTTATTAGTGAGACACCATGAGGTACAGTTGTAGACTTACAAATTTTGTGCTTGGGTTTCAATTATACAATGATCAAATACCCATCCCTCCACCAGTCCCCATTTCCCACCACCACGGATCCCAGTATCCCTCCCATCCCCCACCCCCCTCATCCCACCCTGCCTCTGTGACAGGGCATTCCCCTTTGGAAGTTAATTTGATTTCAGGAAAAGCCTCAGGGATTGTATCTAATTGAGGGGGGCACAAAAGGTCTGGCCTATTCTTCTCCAAAGTGGCTCTAGAAATGGTGAGTTTCCTATAGGTCTTTTAGGATGAAAGTTTCCCTGTGAGAAATAGAAGTTCTCATGGAGGAGTTATAGTACAGCAATTAGGGCATTGCCTCGCACGGGGCTGATCTGGGTTCAATCCCCAGCACACCATATGGTCCCTTGAACCTGCCAGGAGTGATCCCTGAGCACAGAGCCTGGAGCACATACTGACAGCTGTCAGGTATGGCCCCCCAAAACAAAACCAAGTCTTAACAAGGCTATCATTCTACCACTAACACCTGAGTAGAGGAGCTTTTTCTAAAAGAGCGGCACTTGGGGTTAAACTGCGTCCACCTGCAGACAATTCCATATAGCCTGTCAATTCAGAATGGGGGAAAAACTCAAAACAATGTCTGAGTGTATCCTGAAGACCAGATGTCAACCTGCCTTAAGTTAAACAGTTCAATGTATATATTTCTACATATCAATGTATTATATAGCACCATCAGAACATCATGTGGATACTGCAAAACTGCACCAAAAAGAAATCAGGATGAACATATAAAAATAGCCTAATCCAGAAATGCATCTGGACTGTGCATTAAACTATGGCACCATGCCACCCCGGGAGGGGAAGGGTGTTTGTCCCTTCGCCTTTTACCCCTGGCGGCAGCGGCATGGTAGCCACCATCTTTCAGAGCCTAATGGACAGCCAGGTATGACACTGCAGTGATGAGGGCATGACGGGCCCCATGGGATGGGGGGTAGAAACGGCCCTGCTCTCCGCCCTGTCAAGGCCCCGAGTTGCAGCCCATGAACACCAATGCCTCCTCTGGTTCCTGAACGACCATGATACCAAAGGTACACAAACCAACCTCAGAACCCAGTGGCTTTTGGCAGTAATCCCTCCAGACTTATTACTAAAATATCAGAAATCCAAAATCGCATGGCCAAGATAGTGGCCACATGACATTATAAAAGCTCTTTATAATCAGCAATAGAAAACAAATGATCTAATAATGTCTTTTTGGCAGGTCTGATCGTTGGGGGGAAAATTACAAACAATAATGATGGGTCTTTAGTCGTAATATTGAATGTGATCAACATAGAGAGAGAGTAAAGTGGAAATCTGCCACACAGGCAGGGGGCCTCTATTGCAAACTACAACACCCAAAAGGAGAGAGAGAGCAAAAGGGAATGCCCTGCCATAGAGGTGGGGTTGGAGAGGATGGGATAGGGGTAGTGGGAGGGATATTGGGATCAGGGGAAGGGGCACTGGTGGAGGGATGGGTACTTGATCATTGTGACTGGAACGTAAGCACAAATGTTTGTACCTCATGGTATTTCACTAATAAAAATAATAAACTGTAGCACTGTCTTTCCGTTGTTCATCGATTTGCTCGAGTGGGCACCAGTAACGTCTCACAAAAAACGGTGAGACTTGTTGTTACTGTTTTTGGCATATCGAACACATCACAGGGAGCTTGCCAGGCTTTGTCGTGCAGGCGAGGTACTTGGTAGCTTGCCAGGCTCTCTGAGAAGGGAAGAGAAATTGAACCCGGGTCGGCTGCGTGCAAGGCAAATGCCTTAACTGCTGTGCTATCACTACAGCCCACGTTTAACTATAAAATCTAAAAACACAAGTGAATCATACTTCTTTTCATCAATAAAAATTTTATGTAAATTTATCTAAAGCAAATCTCCATATAAGTCTCCATATAATCTCCATATAATTAGTATTACTCATTTATATTATGACTAATAATTAGCAAATTATAATATGACTAATAATTAGCAAATTAGCTCGAGCAAATCGATGAATTTGGCTGGCTGTCCATTAAGCACTGTCTTCACGTTGTTCATCGATTTGCTGAAGCGGGCCCAGTAACGTCTCCATTGTGAGACTTGTTGTTACTGTGCTTGGCATATAAATACGTGATGGGTAGCTTTCAGGTTTTTCTGTGCAGGCGAGATACTCTCGGTAGCTGGCTACGCTCTGCAAGAGGGGCAGAGGAATCGAACTCACATTGCCTAGGCTGGCCACATACAAGGCAAACACCCTACCACTGTGCTATGACTCCAGCCCATATAGATAATATATAAATGCATATTAATAAATATAAACAATATATAAATATTATAGATATATTACAATATAAGTACAGGTAATTGTAAATATAAAATTTATTTTGTAAATATAAATACTTATATAAATATACAAATATATTTATATTTATAAGTAAAATACATTTATTTTATTTAATATAAATAAGGGGCTGGAGCGACAGCACAGTGGTAGGGCGTTTGCCTTGCACGCAGCCAACATGGCCGACCCGAGTTCGATTCCTCTGCCCCTCTCGGAGAGCCCGGCAAGCTACCGAGAGTATCTCGCCCGCACGGCAGAGCCTGGCAAGCTACCCGTGATGTATTTGATGTGCCAAACACAGTAACAATAAAGTCTACAATGGAGACGTTACTGGGCCTGCTCGAGCAAATCAATAAATATAGATAAAATAATATGAAGTGTCAAAACTATTTTTAAACTGTTTTCCTTCAGCATCTGAGTGGATCATTTCTTCACTCACTAGAGCCCTTGGGACCTGCCCTTTAAGACCACTGATCTAAAAACACATATAAGTGATTGACTGTACTGGAGTCCATTTTTTTTTGAGGGGACTCCCAACTCATGTTCAGGCGACACTCCTGGCAATCCTTGGTCAACTGGGCTGAATCAATGCTGGGTCCAGTTGTTCTGGGGAACTCCATGGCTACACGTGGTGCTGGTGATCAAACTAGGGACTTTGCACATACAAGACTTGTGCCCCTGGATCCAATTGGTTTTTGGCAACACAATATGATGGCTACAGTTTGGACTGACACCTGCCTTTACAGAGGAAAGTGGACAGTGAGTCCATTCTTGGCAGAATGAGCACCAACAAGGCAATCCTTGTTTCATACACTAATTAGTTGACTGTCCCTCCCACTAGGACTCTAGCAGGTAGAACTTTCTGTATGTGCAATTCTCTTACCCAACCTGATGCTGGGGTCACGCTTAGCCCAGGGAAGATACGCATCAAAACAGAACTTTTGTAGAGCTCTAAAAGTATTTTATAGATCTTGAATATTAACCCTTTGTCAGATGAGTTGTGGGCAAATAATTTTTCCCGGTTTGTGGGCTGTCTTTGTATTCTGTTCTTTGTATCCTTTGAGCTGCAGAAGCCTCTTAGTTTAATGTAGATAGTTCATTTGTTTATCTCTGCTTCTACTTGCTTGGTCAGTGACATTTCATATGTAAAGAAGCCTCTAGCTTCAAAGTCATGAAGAGTTCTGCCTTTACTTTGCTCTATGTAACTTATGGATTCAAGGGACCCTTATTCACTGCTGGTGGGAATGTTGACTGGTCCGACCTTTTTGGAAGACAATATGGACATTCTTCAAAAACTAGGAATTGAAATTCCAATGAGCCAGAAATTCTACTCTTAGGAGTATACTCCAAGGGCCCAAAATCACTATACAGAAAAGACATCTGCACTTCTATTTCATTGCAGCACTATATACAATAGTTAAAATATGGAAAAAACCCAAATGCCCACAAACAGATGACTGAATCAAGAAACCATAGTACATACATACAATGGAATACTCGTAGGTCATAATGAAAGATAACGCCATGCAATTTGCTGCAATGTGGATGGGTCTGGAGAGTGTCATGTTGAGTGAAATCCGAGGGAGAGAAATGGATTCAGAATGATCTCTCTCATATGTGGATAGAAAGAAATTTCATAGGAGAATATCAAAGGCCCAGTGGCAATAAGAATGAAGAACAGAACTGGCCTTCAGTAGGAAACTTACCACTGGCGCAGGGGATGAGGTGGGAGGTGGGAGGAGTAAGTTAGGGAAGGAAACCAGGACAATGGGGGAGGGGGAAAGTGCCTGCCATAGAGGCAGACTGGGGGTCGGGAGGGAAACTGGGGACTGGTGAGGAATTGGTGTCAAAACATTGTCCACCTGAAACTCATTCATAAATATCTTTGTAACTTTGGGGAAACTAGGGAGCTAGCTCAGCAGCCAGGGCTGTATGCCTTACCTGCTTTAGCACTGAGGCCTGCATTTGAACCCTGACACTACATGCCCTCCCCACCCTAGTAGCCCCCAGCACTGCTGGACTGAGCATTGAACCATTTGACCCAGTTGGCCAACTTTCAACGGGAGTGGCTTCCAGATCTCGAGCATTGCTTAGGAGGCCTCCCCCGTAAATCCCAAACCCGAATGGCCAAACATATTATGTTACATTTTGTGTTTGAAACAGGCCAATGGTTATATTACCTAAATAACGAGACCACTTTAGCTGTCGGGAAATTTGAAAAGTGCCAATTAGAACATCTTTTCCAGGCTTCATGAGCTTTTTCTTGCCCTCAAAAATAACTCATTTAAAGCATATCATAACCAATATAAAGATTTTAAAAGATCAAAACGCTATATTTAATGTTTGTTGATACATTCTGAAAGATAAAATCATGTAAACATGGAGTCTACATTAGATATAAAAGCCCCAGCTTGTCATATCTTTCCTTGTTTATATACTGTAACATCAAATCAACCTTTATTACTACTTTAACCTAGAAAAGATTCATGATAATATTTTACAGATGAGACATTTTTTACCTATGATCCTCTTGATTCTCTAAGGCTTAGACTCAAAGTAGAGAAAGTTGTGAGGATAAGGGACTGAAGGGCAGAGATAAAGGAAGAAAGGAGAAGAGGAGAAGAAAAAAGAAGAGGCAGTGGAGGAGGAAGAAGGAGAAGGAGAAGAAGAGAAGGAGGAGGAGGAGGAGGAGCTGAAGAAAGAGGACAGGAGAAAGAGAAATAGAAGGAGAAGAAGGAGGAGGAGGAGGAAGAGGAGGTGGAGGAGGAGGAGAAGAAGAAGGAGAAGGAGGAACTAAGGAGGAAAAGGAGAAAGAGAAGGATAGGTAGGGTGAAGAAAGGCAGATGGAATAGTTGCTTTTACTGAAAAAGAAAGCAGGGCTGAGTCATGGGTTGCCCTTTAGCCTCCAGAGCCAAAAACTAGTTGGGAGGAGCAGGGCTCCCCAGCTGGCTTGCACTCACTTTTATTGCAGTGTCTTCCATGCCAGCCCTCTTGACATAGGCATTTGTTGGGCTCATAGCAGACTCCGTGTTCACCACAGTCAGGCTCACAGACAGCTAGAATCAAGAGATAAAAAGAACATTTTCAGAGACTTTGTTTCATTAATAGAATCACACAGCTGCTAAAGTTCTTTAGAATGTGAAGAGCCAAACTTTCCTGAAGGTCTTTAGAATGTGTTAGTCTTGGCCTCACCCCCTCTCCAGTTTTTTTCCAAGTCAGTTTCCTGCTATAATATGGTTGTTCAAAACTTTTGGAAAACCTGGTGTTTCAAAAGTTTTCCCAATAATTTTGAGAGAGATTCTAAACTATGCTGGATACTTTTCTTTTACAAAACCATTCAGGAACTTTAAAACTGCTTGGCAATGGAAGTTTATTTTCTTTAAGAAAACTCTTCAGGGATTGGAGTGATAGCACAGCAGGTACGGCATTTGCCTTGCACATAGCCGACCCGGGTTCAATTCCCAGCTTGCCATGTGGTCCCTGAGAACCGCCAGGAGAGTGCAGAGCCAGAAGTAACCCCTGGGCATCGCTGGGTGTGACCCAAAAAGCCAAAAAAAAAACCTCTTCATATGTATGTCTACATATAAATATGTACATATATACATACACATATATGTGCATATATATTAAGGCAGAGTCTCCTGCCCACGCGCCTGGCTGTGCTCACTGGGGCCCCTTGGAGGGGGGTTGAGTTTCCCTCCCCACCCCAAGCAAAGCCCCGGCAGCCGAAGACCTCCAGAACCAGCCATAGCCATGCTGAGACTACCCTCCACATGTCTGGACAAGCCTCATGCATGAAGGAACCGATCAAGGAACCCAGGCATGTGGGTCCCGGGCCTGAGATCTCCAAGCCTACTGGGACTGGGCCTTCTCCACCTAGATCCCCCATCTTCCAGTAGGTAGGCGTTACACCCAATAGCTGCTACCAGCACCAGGCGGTCCCATCAACGGCCAAGACCCAGAGACTATGAAACCCAACTCCTGGAAGCGCGCAGCCACGAATGCGACATCTTATTATCTCGTTTTTACTTTGGAGAACCCAGCAGGCTACCGAAAGTATCCTGCCCGCACGGCAGAGTCTGGCAAACTTCCCATGTCGTATTCAATATGCCAAATACCAGTAACAATGATAGGTCTCATTCTCCTAGCCACGAAACAGCCTTGAATATGGCACTTTTTAAAATCTCAGGGCTAGGACGAAGTAGACGTTACTGGTGCCTGCTTGAGGCAATCAATGAACAACAGGATGATCATGATATTAAGGCACTGTATTTTATAAAAGTGTTCATAATAGAGTTGAGAGTTGAAGTCACACAATGCTCCAACCCCAATCCACTATCAGTCAGTGTCAAAGCCCCTCCACCATTGTATCCCGGTGCCCTCCCACACGGAGACTTGCCTCCTTAACAGGCGCATTTTCAAGTTTGATTGTTGTAATTTGGTGTGATGTTTTCAGTGTTATTGACTCTATGGTTCAGATATGTCCATGCACCTCACCTCTACATTACCTATCTGCTTGAAGCCCCTAGCCCCCGCCCCCTTTTCCTCTTAATTTCCGTCCTTCCCTGTAGTTGTGTGTGTGGTTTTTTTTTTCTGTGAATGGGCTTCATATAGTGCTTCATTATAAGGGACGTAAACAAGTCGTAGTGCAGACAAATCATAGGGATGCCTCAAAAGCGCATGGCAGGCATGGGAACTATGGTGCAAGACACACATTCTGGTTAAGTGAAAAGATTACTTACGCTCGGAGCACAGGTCTCCTTGGTAACCCTTGGAGCACTTGCATTTGTTTTTGCCAATGCATTTACCACCATTCTGACAGGGTTGGGCGCATTTACCTGAAAAAGAAAAGAGTGTGACTAAGCAGGGAAATCTCTCAGAGGTAATTACATTTTTCAAAGTAATTTACTGCAAGGCTTTGAGAGAATAAATGTTTTTTAGATGGTAGTAATTTCCACTTATTCTAGATATTTTCTGCTGTTTAAGTTTCACCGTTGGAACCAACAGATCAGTATTTTCACATAATAGGGTGTCGCATGTCTATCTTTTTTAATCCGGTGACCAAGTGCCGCTATTTGTATTACTTTTGATTTTGCAAACTGAATGTAAGCAAAAGATGTATAATTTTTATTAAAAAAAACAGATTCATAATATATCTAAGGCAAACCAAAGTTTAAGATCTGAACAGCCCTTAAATGTTATTTAATGTGAGTTCTGACTTTTGAATGTGATTTTTACTTAAAGCAAAGTATATCCGACTAAGTCTAGGATTCTCCAGAAAACTGGACTTACAGATTATTCATTCATTTATAAGGCATTGATTCATTTATCAACCTCAAAAAATATAAATGTATATACTGTACATCCAGATAGCTCTAATTCTGGTCTTATCTGTTTATCCATGAACATCTTTCATGATCAAGTCCCTGAACAATGCTCAGCAGGTACCCGTTCTGATAGAAACTAAAGTAAATGCTCTTGGAGGTGCATCAAAACCTGGAGGGTGGAGGGTGTAAAACAGGAAAGGCAGGAGAGCCAACACACAAATGTGTCTGTGGTTAAACTTCAACAGGAGCCACCAGGTTCCAGATTCTGCTGGGGCCTGAGGCGCCACGTGTGTGGCACCTTCAATACGTTGGAAGAAAGAAAAGGGAATATTCATCAACTTCTGACTCACACAAGTCAGAAGTCATACCATGGAACAGCTTCCTGGCACTTCTGTTCTATTACTGTGAATGTAGGCTGTATCAGCTTTCTTTTTTTTTCCCCCCCTTTTGTCTTTAGACTGGGAGGAGTCTCTGGGTGCAAGGCAAGAGAAGCTTTGGGCAGTTGAGGTACAGCCAGGCTCTGTCTGACTGTGCCAAACAGGTTATAGTAGCCGTGGCTGGAGTAAAAGATTGTTGAGAAGGATTTATGGGAAAAGACTTGATAACATACTAGTGCCTTTTTCCCCATGGACTGTCATAGGTCCTAATAGTCCATCACTCTTTTATCTCTGTGCCAAACAGATGTTGCTTGTTTTTTGTTGTTGTTGTTTTGTTTTTTGTTTTGATCACAGGATCTTAGAGTTAAAAGACCTAAAATGTGAAAATTACATAACTTTCTTCTTTTGCACTCCAGAGGTTTTTCATTCTCTCTCTGCGATGTAGGATTTGCCATCCCAAGGCTAAATTTTTTTTTAGATTTAATTATTTTTATTTAGACACTGTGATTTACAAAATTATCCACAATAGTGTTTGACACATACAGTGTTCGAACAATTATCCCACTATCAGTGTCAACTCTACAACGTTCCTGGATCCCACCCAAACTTCCAGCCTAGTGTAGAAATGTATATTATATATTTGTCTCAGTATGTCCTTGAATACAAATAAAATATATATAAATTAAGACAAATTATGATATAGGTAAATTATATCATTAACCAATTCAAAGTCTGGAGCGAGAGCACACCAGTAGGTTTGCCTTGCATGTGCCAACCCAGGTTTGATTCCTCCACCCCTCTCGAAAAGCCTGGCAAGCTACCGAGAGTATCTCACTTGCATGGCAAAGCCTGGCAAGCTATCCATGTCATATTCGATATGCCAATCACAGTAACAACAAGTCTCACAATAGAGATGTTACTGGGCCCACTCGAGCAAATCGATGAACAACGGGAGGACAGTGCTACAGTGCTACATGATAGAACTGTAAATATTCCTTGATTTATGATAGGATTATAGCTTGATAAACCAATTGAAAAATAAAATATTGTGACTTGAAAATGCATAAATGCATCTAATGTACTGACATCATAACTTAGCCTTAATATGCTCAGGACATTGTATTAGCTGATAATGAATGAAATCATCTAACAAAAGCTATTTTATTTAAAAACTGAATATCTTGTGTAGTTTATTGAATACTGAGCAGCAGGTAAGTGAACCATGATAATGTAAATAAAACCAAAAAACATAGCATCAAAAAGTGTTGAAGACTGAGTAATTACAGGGTATCAATTATATTTTTTGTTTTGCTTTATTATTTTATACTATCTCCACTTTATTTGAGTCAGTTATATTTTATGTGCCACAGTCTATGTTCTCTGCAGGTTTTGAAGTCATTTAGATGTCTCATCTAGATGATTCATCTCATCTATCAAATTGTCTTCATTTTATTGACAATGAGACTTCATTCAGCTTTCCTTAACTGGTTAGATTTTCTAAACTTCTAATGCTTAATTTTTTCTTTTTCCTTTTGCTTTTTGTTTAAGTTCTGGGTGTTTTAATTGTTTTCTGTTTTTTATTGTGATTAATTCTTTTTTCAATGCATTGTGATCTGAGAGGATGGGGAGAATATCAATTGTTTAACTTCAGAATAGTGTGACTTTCTGTGAGCTGCCACTTGCAGTATCTCTATTTTGCATCACCATACATTTATTTTTATTTTTACTTATATATATATATATATTTTAATGAATCACTGCAAGGTACAGTTACAGACTTAGAAACTTTCGTGATTACGTTTCAGTCATACAATGATCGAGCACCCATCACTCCACAGTGCCTATTCTCCACCACCAATGTTCCCAGTATCCCTCCTGCCACCCCTTCCATCACCCCCACTCCCCAGCCCCAGTGGCAGGCATATTCCCTTTTATTCTCTCTTTCCTTTTGGGTGTTATGGTTTGCAATACGGGTATTAAGTGGCCATCATGTTCGGTCCATAGAGAGTATCATGCTAAGTGAAATGAGTCAGAGAGAGAGGGACAGACATAGAATGACTGCTTTCATTTGTGGAATATAAAGTAACATAATGGAAGACTAATACCCAAAGATAATAGAGATGAGGGCCAGGAGGATCGCTCCATGGCTTGGAAGCTGGCCTCATATGCTGGGGGAAAAGGCAGCTGAGATAGAGAAGGAGATAATCTAAATATTTTTTAAAATATTTAAAAATTCCCAGCAATTTTCAGTACTTACTCCTGGTTTTGCATTCAGGGATTAATCCTGGTGGGGCACAGGGGACCATACATGATACCAGGATTGAATCTAGGTTGCCTGTGTGCAAGGCAAGTGTGCTACCATTTTACAATCTCTCCAGTTGAGGGCTAAATTTTTTGAAGTATGAAAGATAAGGGATTATTCATTCCAGGCTGAAATCAAATCCTGTGACTGGGATCACCGTGTTCCAGAGAGAGCAAAGAGTCATTCAATTTGGGAGGTGGAGGAGTTCAGACTTTTAAAAAAATTATTGTGGTTCTTTCTTTTTTTAATTTTCCTTTTTTTCTTTATCTTAGCAGAATACTCATTATAAAGGCCTCGGGACATAAATAAATTTTGAAAAAAGTGAACACTTAAAGATTTTTTCCAGTAAGCACAATGCTTTATATATATGAAATAAAATCCGTGTGAAAATTATTTCTACAAACACTTTATTCTCTTTGTAACTTATCTTAATATGATTTTATTTGTATATAAATTGATGAAGGCAGCATTTAGTTCTTTTGGAAACATTATAAGCATAATATTGACATGTTAGAGTCTCTCAAAAATCAGGAATGGCATTAGATATTTAGGATTTTCTGATGCAGATGAGTTCAAGAAACAGGTATTAACACATACTTATAATATATTACCATCTTTCAACTGAGCATTAAAAATCTAAATTGGACCTTCATGCTAGGGTTGTGTACAAGAAAAACATTTACTATTTGATTAAGAAATCAACTCTCACCTCAAAGAAAGAAATACTTAACTTTCATTTGCATCAAAAGAATGTCTGGCCCATCATATACGTGAAATTGGATCATATCACAGTACTCTGAAATGCTTTTGGGTTTTTCAAGTAAACAAGATGTGGGACTATAATTATATGGCAGAAAAGATAGAGTACTTATTGTGAAATACTTGGTGAGTCCAAATTTTCCCTTGTTCTATGGGAGGTGAACTTGGCAATCAGGAGTAACACTGGAAATAATGAATGAGAGAGTCTTGTTCATTGACCAAACAGGCCTGTTTTGTTTGTTCAGCCATACAGAAGTGAGGGTCCTTCAGTTTACTGTAGCCAGGATGGAGGTATTGACAAAATCAAGACATTGAAGTTCTCCTATCCAACTTATTGGATTGCAGGAAAAAAAAAATTGCAAATCTGCTTCTCATAGAAAAAGATTTTTTAAAGAGGGTGTGAATAGGAAATTTCAATAATGGTCATACCTGGGTCTTAGGATTATTGATAATTATAGTTTATCCACTACTATAATTTTTATTGTATTTTTTATAAACATATATTATATATACATTTTTAGTGCCAGGGATTGAATTCAGGTCTCATATATGCAAGGCATGTACTTTATCACTGAGTCATATTCCTAGCCCCATCATAAATATTTTATATATAGAAGTTTTATAATAACAATTAATTAAGTGATTTAAACTCCATCTATAATACAGTATAAATAATTTGTGTGATCTTTAAATTGAACATTCATTAAAGATGCTTGAGAGATCTATATGCCTTAATAAAAACAAGATAAATGTGTATTCTACATCCAGATGACTTTAGTCATATTTTATTTGTTAACATACAAGCATAACTCACAACCAAGTTAAAATGAAGTTTTAAAAGATATAGATTTTGAAGAGTCCAGGAGGACAAAAATATAAATAATAGCAGAATACATTTTTCGTAACAAAAATAATGACAAGTGTTGGCAATGATACGGAGAATTAGAACCCTTAGACACTACTGGTGGGGAATGTAAAATGGCACAGATGTTTTGGATAACAGTTTGGCAGTTTCTAAAAAATTAAACGTAGCATTAACATATGGTCTAACAATTTTACTTCTAGGTATCTACTGAAGAGAAACTTAAAGCATATGTTCATACAAAACTGTGTACAGAAAAGCTGATAGCAGAGTTATTTATGAGAGTCCAAAAATAGAAACAACTGGAAATTCATCAACTGACATAAAAGAAAAACAAAATGCAGTTGGCACAGCATACGCTGGAATACTAGTCAGTAGTTAAAAGGAAGTGCAAATGTATGCTGCAATTTGAGTGAATCTTGAAAATATCATGCTAAGTTAAAAAAAAAAGACAAAAGAGACCATATTATATGATTATATTTCTAATGAAAGGTCTGAAATAGGCAAATCTAAAGACATAGAAGAGTAGTGGTTTTTAGGATCTTAGAGGAGAGGGCGAGGAGGAGTAAGTGCTAATGGGAACTGTTTTTTTGGTGGAGGGTGATGACATGTTCTGAATGAAGATGAAGGGATACTGCACAACTTCAGAATATATACTGAACAAGGATGGAGAGATAGCACAGCGGGTAGGGCGTTTGCATTGCACGCGGCCGACCCGGGTTTCACTCCCAGCATCCCATATGGTCCCCTGAGCACCACCAGGAGTAACTCCTGAGTGCAGAGCCAGGAGTAACCCCTGTTCATCGACGTGTGTGACCCAAAAAAGCAAAAATATATATATATTGAACACTGAATGGTATTCTCTTTTTTTGGCCGGGTTTGTGGCCACACCCAGCTGTGCTCAAGACTTACTCCTGGCTCTGTGCTCAGGGATCACTGTTAGTGGGGCTCAAGTGTGCCATGGACTGAACTCGGGTCAACTCCATGTGAGGCAAATGCTCTACCTGCTGCACTCTCATTCCAGTCCCGAACTGTACTTTTTAAAGTGGTGAGTTATTTCCCAGTTTAAAAATAAGAATACACAATTCAAACTGTCATGTTTAGTACATTTAGAGGCACTTTTTAACCCAGGACCATTTCCATAGTTTACTGGTAATATGATTCCTGGATCAGGAATAGGAAATTCCCTTTAGAGATCTGAGAGCAACTTGTGATAGGGACAATCAGAAGTTTTAAAGACCGTCATTGTAGGCGCAGTTATGAGGTGGGGGGACCCCACAAAGAAGAATAAAAAACAGTGCCTCTTCCCACGTTAATCTCAGAAATGTCAAGGCATGAAAGGGTACTCTTAAATGAAGAGAAATGAGACCATGAACAAGGATCCATAAACATGAGCTGCCCAAGTATGTGAAGTCTGAGAGTAAGCAAGGGGAGAAAATTGAGGGGAGTTAGTTCAGAGATATCTTTATCAGGGCAGGGTAATTAATAAGAACCGAAACCACATCCTGACAATTAATTACATGTTTCATGGAAACTTCAGAGGCATTTCATTTGAACTCTATAAAAAAAAGGTTACTTCATCTACTAGTCATTAAAGTACAAAAACCCACAAATAAATTAGAGGTCGAAAGTTAAAGTGGGAAGTCAGTTTTCAGTCTGGAACAACTAGCATACAGAAACTACGGCGGGACTAAGCACCTGGGGTGTTTTACAGACATGGTAAGGCTGGAGGAGCAAAGGACCCCTCCAGGGCTCCCAGCAAGGCAGGAGCAGAGAAACCCTGGCAGAGAGACACACACGGCCCTTGTGCTCTTCCTTAAGCAGAGTTCTAACATTATCTGTCCTGGATGAAAAAGCAATCTAAGATGGGTCAGCCCATTTCTGAGTTTACTAGGTCTCAGAGACTCATTGAGGACTACGAGGCTGACAGATGACAGAACTGGAACCATCAGTTTGCTATCCTATCCCAAAACAATGATTATCTCCCATAGCCCACCCTTAGTATTCATCTCATGTACTTTTTAAAATTTTTATTAGTGAGACACCATGAGGTACAGTTGTAGACTTACAAATTTTGTGCTTGGGTTTCAATTATACAATGATCAAATACCCATCCCTCCACCAGTGCCCATTTCCCACCACCACGGATCCCAGTATCCCTCCCACCCCCCATGCCCCCCATCCCACCCTGCCTCTGTGGCAGGGAATTCCCCTTTGTTCTCTCCTTTTGGGTGTTGTGGTTTGCAAAAGAGGCATTGAGTGGCAATCAGTGCATCATCTCATATTTTGGATTGAAGCTGGACAAATATATTGAAGGCATAGTAAGAGGTGAACATAAGTTTATATAGCTCAACTCTTGCTTGGTGTGAAAAGACATAAATACTCAGTGGAAGCTTTGTCAATCAAGATACAGACCATTCTATGCATCTCCAAAAGGTTTCTTTGTGATCCCAAGCACAATTTTTGTTTCTACTTTTATCCATTAATTGCACCTGTTTTTTGAACCTCACAAAAATGGAATCTTTTTGTATATACTTTTTGGAGAACTAGCTCCTTTGATTTAACATCGCAAGTTAGCAATTTATGTTGTTTTGTGTACTATTAGTTCATCCTTTTTTATTGCTATCCTCCCTTTGCTGTTCTTTTATAATGTGTTTTATCCTGTTGGATGGACTACAGTCTTCCTTCTAGTTTAGGAAACATGGTACGTCAGGCACAGAAAGAATTCTCTAGGCCTGTAGGTGAGTGAGCAAATCCCAGTTGCCCACTGCTCTGGTCTAATTTCTAGATGAATACTAGTGGTTCTGCATCATGAGAGGGGACCAAAGCACTGGTAAAAAAAAGTCACTCAACATGCTGAGTAACCCAAACCCAGACCCAAATGAGTCTGAAAGTATTTGATGTGAGTCATCTGGGCTGGGTTAAGCCACTCTGCGCTATGTATAGCAAAAATGAGTGTCAACTGAGTTGACTGGACCTTTGGCTGAAGACCCCGACAAACTATTCTTTCTCTTTAGGTTTCAGGCTCTTTGCTGACAACATTAAGGGCTAAGAAGGAGTTTCCAAGTCCCCCCAAAACAAGAATGCAGAAGATCAATAACTCACTTATTTCACACTGTTCTCCCTCTAGTCCTGGAGGGCAGATACACTTTCCAGGGAAGAAACAGGTCCCTCCATTAAAGCAGGTAGTTGAGCAATTTGCTGTTTGGATGAATAGCAGAGCATTGCATGAGATATTTGAAGTATAAAAAAAAAGTCATGTTAAATAGGATTATTCTTTTGGGCATCTGTTATTTGCCATTTACTTACCTTAGTAAATTAAGCCACTCTAAAAATACAAGAATTGTGATCAATTCTTGCTATTTCAACAATATAATAAGATATCACATGTTTTACATAGTACTCATTCAAGGGATTAATACCTTAGTGAAAAAAAAAAGCACAGTGCATAGAAATTAGTTTCCAGCAAACATATATTCCTCTAAAAGGATTAAGTATATTATAAATTTAAAAAAAATATCTTTTAAGACAAAAAAGAAGAGAAAACTTCCCTTGGAATAGAAGTCATAAATATTAGGCTTAAAATATTTATTAGACATAAAATATTTATTAGACAAAAATAAAAATATTAGACATAAAAATTAGCAAAGAATTGCAGAAACTTTTTCCCAACATAAAATAAATATTTATCTTGTGTTGTATGCATTTTTTTTTGTAGGGGGAGCCACACTCAGTGATGCTAAAGGGCTAGGAAGTGCTGGGGATCAAAATTTAGGTCCTCATACAAGTGAGGCATGTTACATTCTATGACTTGAGCTACAACAAACTAGTCCCAGGAATATTTTTTGATAGATACTTATGACCTTGGGAGAAAGAATCAGTATACTCAGGAAAAGACAGGTTATAGACACTGTGAGCTATCATCAGCAGGGAATCAGCAGCACCCTGAATGGAGAAATGAGCTATAGAAATGGGGGAATCCAATTAGCTGGACCATTCATGTAATAATCATATTGCTCACGATTCATCCTAAAGCTTCTCCCTTGGTGCCAACTTTTGGAACTTCAATAATTACTGTCACCTAAAATAGTGGGAATACAGAAATGGGGACATGGGAAGGAGAGCAAATATCTAAATACAGACAAGACGGCTCATTCCGTGAAGGAACTGAAACGTAAGAACCTCAATTCTCAGCCTACTTATTCTTGTCCCATATAAAACAGGCCAAATTGGCTCTAGCAGAACAGAAACTGATGCTAAGCTTCCTGTAGGAAAATAAGAAAGGAAACCCAAAAGTGATAAGTATATGTTTTATTTCTTTTTATGATATAAAAGAAATACAATGGAAATGTTCTATAAGCACAATGCTTCTTTAATAATAAAAGTTTTTGAGTATTTTTGTTTTTTTTTTTATTTTTTTGGTTTGTTTGTTTAAAAGTGTAAGTACCTTCCAGTTTAAGCCAATGCTGTGCTGGCTTTGATGAAACAGAACCTTCTGGAGCCAAACAGAACAGCAGCACCAAGGCACAGTGGCTCAGAGAGACTGTTCTCTGGACTTCCTTCTTGCTCCTGGCTACTAACTGACTAGGGTCCGATAGTTATTTCTGGAAGTGTGTCCTGTCTCCCAACTTGTCCCCATTTCTTCACCAAAGAGAAAGAGATGAGAAAGTGTTGGGATCAGTGCCTGCTCGGCTGATGCCCTTAGGCATCATCCTTCACCAACGCAGTGAATACCACTGGGAACTTAACTGAAAGTTAGAAAATAGGACAAAGCTGAGTCTAGAACTTGGCAGTCTTATTATGCATATAACATTTTAATATGCTGACCAAGCTTTTCTAAATTTCTGACTGCAGTGTGACTCCTGATAAAGAAAATGAGTCTGAGAAACTAAGTAGTTTTCACTGGATGGAGGTAATGCTAGGTCAATGCTTAGCTAATCTCTTAAAGTTTGACACAGATGGCACAAGAGCCAAGAGAAGTGAACCTTAAATGTTCCTCAAACACACAGTGTTAAGGTCTGGTTTCATGCCCATGATTAAGCCACTTTGCAGACTCTCTACATTTCTTACTGCATAACAATTGTGATTTGCAGGACTTTGGATTTGGGGGCCACATCTGGTGGTGTTAAGGAGCTACTCTCAGTATTGTGCTTGGGGTAGGGGACTCACTGCGGCAGTGCTCAGGGGACCAGAATGTAAGGGATTGAATCTGTGCCTCCTATATGCAAAGCATATGCTCAGTCTTTGAGCTATCTATCTCTCTGGCCTGCTTTTTTCCCTAATGTTGTGAAAAACATTACTTTTTAATGTTCCCACATTTCCAGTGAGTCCCTGTGGAATGTCAGCAGACTCCTCAAAGAACTTCTTATAATGTCTAGGGTCTAACAAGTAGAAAAATCTTTCATCTGAAAGGCAAAATATTATAACTATATGATGTACTGAAATACAAGTACAAACGTTTCTTCAACATATCCATGCAATATTTATGGTACCACAGCATTACCAAAATATTGCAACTGACATTCTAGTTTGAAAATTATCCCACAATTTCCCCCTCTATAGAAGCAGGCCTTACACATGTTCCCATTAAATACAACATCTCCTGTTATTACACAAATTCTTATCCAAATTTCTAAAGGCTTTGCTCTGTTTTCTAATGCATTTGAATCTGCTTTAAGAAATGCCTGATATTGAAATAGCAGAAACTCTGAATGTTAAATTTAGAGCAATAAAAAAATTCACCATAAGAAAATTCTACCCACTTTTGTTCATGTTATTAGTGTCATTAGTGCTTAATCTTGATGTATACAAATCTTAAAAACTATTTTAATCTTATGGTTATAAGTTACTTTAGGGGAGAAGAGTGAGAATACAGTGGTTAGAGCACTCACATTGCAAATGACTGATCCATGTTCTATTCCCAGCACCCCATAAGATCCCCTGAGCTCCACTAGGAGTGACCCAGGTTTATAGCTTTGAGTTATTTTTTCTCACCTCTAACCAGAAAATTAGACCAGTGTCCAGTTCCCCTCAGCTATTTAAAATAATACTGAATAACCCCTGAGTATCACCAGGTGTGACCCAAAAACTAGAGAAAAAAAAAGAAGAAAAAAATGCCATTAGAAGTATCTTCATGGTTTCTTTTTACAGAAAACTTTTATTTGTTTATTGACATTTTATTTATTTATATATTAATTTCTATGAGACATTGCTCAGGGCTTACTCCTAGCTCTGCAACTCAGGGATCACTCCTGGTGGGCTCAGGGGATGATATGGAATGCTGGGGATCACACCGCATTCAGCCACATGCAAGGCAAGCACCCTCCCACTGTACTTTGGCTCTAACCCTATTTTACAGCAGTCTTCCACTCAGTCATATATATTTTTGAAATTTTATCATGGTGAGATACACAGTTACAAGGTTGTTCATGATTGTGTTTCAATTATACAATATTCCAATGGGAAATGCATAATGGGAAACATACACTGGTGAAAGGATGGGTATTGAAACACTGTAGGACTGAAACCCAATCACGAACAATCTTGAAATTATCATTTTTGACACAAGAACAAGTTTATTATATACAGATACTTTGCAGAAGTAATTCAATTTTTTTCCCATGAAAGATGTCAACTGGGCAAAACAAACAAGTCCTTTGTAAGGATTATGAACCATCTCCAGAGTTAATATAGGGCCAAATATGAATCAACTTTCTGACTAAAAGGGTGTAGTGTCAAGGAGAAAAACACTCTATGTCTCAGGGATCTGATCTGTGAACTGGGGGTGGGGTGGAGGTGAACGTCTAGCTGAGACAATGGGGAGCAGGTTGTTTCATATCCTTCTTAGAAGTTCACCCATAAAATTGATTTAGGACATAACAGAACTGCATATGGCAGGAACAGCTAAGTGTTCACAAAATTCACTCTCCCTCCCATAAAGCTGTCAGTGGGAGGCAGCTGTCCAGGCAGGAATGACATCTTCCTGGCACACATCTGGATGGGACCATGAGGTTAATTCCTACCACTGAAATTGGGTAGAAGTTTTGTCGGCTATTTCTGAGCAGGGAGTTTTTTTTTTTAAAGCTGTTTATATTCTAATCTCTCCCTGTGCTTACTGACTGGCTCCAGAGAGCTTCAAACTCCCATAGGACTCTACCTAGATCTCTGTGTCATTGTGGGGAGGTGAACCACATACAGCACAGCCCAGTGACCAGTAATTACAGCATTGGGGCGTTCAGTGAGTGAAAAATTAAAAGCCCTCTAGTCTGTTACGATACACTAATGTTATAGAAGCAGGCTTGGTCCAAGTGATGCACTCTATTTATAGAACTGTTACAAAGAGAAATGATATGTTAAGTAGGTTTCTTTTCATCTAGAAAAGATCCTTGTTCTTGAAAAAAAAAGTGGTACCTTTATCACAATTGATGCCATAGAATCCAGGCGGGCAGATGCAGAAACCAGGAGTAACGCAGAGGCCGCCGTTCATACAGCGTGGTGTGCAAAGGGCTAGGAGGGAGAGACAATTTGGTTAAGGCCAAACAGGCTTTCAGAGGCAGGACCATTCTAAAAATGTTGCAGTTTAATGGGATGGCATTTTTAGGTTCTGCAGTTGACTCTAAACGGGTTGCTCTTAAGGGTTTTAGTAAGTTTGATTAATGTGTGTGTGTGGGGGGTTATCAATAAGGCTATTTTTTGATCATTTTCAAAAAGAGAATTTTGGGGACTGTTATATTTGAATGAATGATTTTTCTGTTCCTTAGAATCATTATTTGAACTAAGATGTTTTTTTCCAAGACTAAATATTTTTTGCTGTTCCTTCTTCTTGATATCCTAATTCCAAACAAGTAAATATTCTTCTTGAAGATAAAAAGTTCTTTTTATTATTTTGGCCAAATAAATTATTGACATTAAAGCATCTTGCAATTAATATATATTGTATTGTTTATCTTCTTTTTATATACTTTTTTTTGGTTTGGGGGCCACACTTGGCAATGCTCAGAGCTTAGTAGACTATAGGGGATAAAAACTATTGGATAGAATCAAGGTTGACCAGGTGCAAGGCATGTATCCTATCCACTTAACTATCCAGCCCAAATTTCTTTAAAGTAATTTTAGAGAAATGAAGAACTTACTACACAAGTGACTTTCATCTTTTTGAAGGAGAGAGCTAATAACAAGTGCTTAACACAAATGTAGACATAATTGTGAATTCAGGTACATTTCATTGGAATGGAATACTTTCAAATTAATCATAATGCTAACTTTTAAAATCCAATTTAAGTGGAAGAGAGAAACTCTAAAATTTTCATAAGCTTGTGCCAAAGAAGAGTGTATATAACAGTGAATTTGTAGGGGAGTGGTTTCACAGAATATAGCATTCGTGTCAAAGTCCTCCATTCCCATCACTACATATTAGAGGTCACAATTAGAAGAACCGCTTTCTAGTTGCTCTTCTGTGGCTTTTTAAAATTTCACTATTCTTTCTAATGTGATCAGAAAAATCATTTCAGGGGAGTTCTTGAAAACACTGGTGAAACTTCTGTGAGACCCCATGTTGAATAGGATGCAAGGGAGAGAAACTGAATTTACCTTTCTCACAGTGAGGTCCATAGAACCCATCAGGACACTCACAGACACGCCTTTCATTACAGAAGCCTCCATTTCGGCACCCTCCTGGACATTCCGCTTCACCAAAGAGAAACAAGGTTTAAATGAAGAGGAAGAGGAAAGCATTCTTAGTTATTTCCCCTAGACCCAGCAGACTATCACCACTCATTGAACAATCAGTAGAACAATATTTCTACTCCAATTCCCTCTTACACCATTTATACTACTTACTACACTAAGTTTCTTCAAAGCAAGATTTTGCCTTTCTCAATCCTAGATCCAAAAGCAGAGACTCAGTGAAAAAGACAAAGCAAGCTTTATTAGAACTTCCTTCTTCCCTATTAATCAATCGTCCTCCCTCTCTTCCTAAGCACCTTACATTCACACTAGACTACAATGCATATTTCCCTTCATGTTTACTTTCAGCTGGTGGAAAGTGACTATTGTTTAGAGCATAGAATGCACTTAAGTTGAAATTCTGTGCTGATAAAGCGGTATGGAAATAGGAAAGGAAGCAGGCCTTTGTGCATAAGGGGACATGCAGAGCACAGTGAGGGGGGGCTTCCGCCTGGTAGGGATTGCTGGCAGAATGGTGGCATCTGGTCCTGCATGGAAATCACTAAAATGAAACTTTAAACCAGGGTCATGCCCTGACATATGGCAACTGCTGATAATGAGGAACCAGAGCAAGAAAGGTGAAATTCATGACCACAGTTGGAGAGAGCTCTGGAGATTTCCAAAGATTGTACAGAAGGAAGAGAAGGTAAGAATCAGGAAAAGAGGCATTGTGAAGGGGTATTAGGGTGCCTGACCTCATGATTGGGGTCAAAGCAGAGAAAGTTTGTCTTAGTACCATTTTTAGAGCCTATGTTTATCATCCTCTCACCCTACTGGTATGGTCAGAGTGGTTATAATCATTAAATTATCTATCTACTCTATCAATCATTTTTGTGAGATTCAGATCATACTAGGTGTAGACCACACCTGGAAATCTTGGAAATTCTTTCTTGAGTCTCCATCACCAATTACCTTGTTGGCATGTTTTAAAGAAGATGGCATTTTGAGGCGTCTGCAGGATGGTGTTCCCTTCAGCATTCATTACAATCACATTCACTTCAAATGCTGCCACTCCATCTTGTTTTCCAAGACAAGGAAAGCCAACTTGAACAACTAACAGAAAAAAAAAGTTTGGAAAAATATTTTATTTCATTGGGTCTTGTTTTAAAGAAATCTTGATAAGAGAAACAAAGTAAACTATTCACATTTCATTGATGTTTCTGAAAGTCTACTGGATGTACAATTCAATTTTGTTCATCTACATCTACACATCCTGCACAGAATTAATTAGTTAATATTTTCTTGGGCTCTTTGTTATTAAGACTTGTTCACATTTTGGGACGCATATGATTCCCGAGCACATATGTTGCTGCTGCATGCATGTGATGCCCCTGCATCTGTCACCTGCATCTTGCCTCTTGAGATATGTAACTTCATATTTTAAGATTGGGATGTGTGCCACTGGACTCTCTCTCTACTCTAGAGAAACCTGCATTCTCCCTTCAGTGAGTCTCTCTCTCTCTCTTTCTCTTTCCCTTGCTCCTACGTGTGCATGTGCACATGCACACACATATACACACACACGCATGCATGCATGCATGCACACAGGTACACACACTCAGAACTTCCAAATAAAACCTGTTTTTACTTCACTGCTTGTCTCTTCCTGAAATTCTTTTCTGAGAGGCAAAGGTGACATACCCAAAATGCCTGGATAAGCTCTAGGACTGACTTTCCTTTCCTGTGAGGAGCAAGGCGCACAGCAAAGTCTTATCAGCCCTAAATTTCCTCAGCTATTCCCAGGTTGGCAAAGGTAGATAGAAAACAGAAGATTCCCTTCTCAAGGCTGCCATCTCTCCTCTCCACTTCATATTAAGTCACCCCCACCGGCTTCATTAAGTAGCAACCACAAAGAGATGATGCAGTGTAGAACTTCCAGAGGAAGGAGGTACAAGTGAAAATCAACTATGGAGATAAGTTCTTTGGGACAAATCTCCAGCAGGACTGTACTGTTTAGCCTCTCTGTGAATGTGTGGTCTCTATGAGGAGGTACCCCTTCCCTATGCTTCTTGGGCCACAAACCACAGGGGGAATTAGAACTTGAAGATTCTGGGGGACTATGGCATTACATCAATCCCCAGGAAGGAACCCTTTCTCCTATCTCTGCTCTCAGTCGACAAAGGGAGTTGGCTAGAGATCACCAGAGGGAAGTGAGATGTTAATGAGAAAAGTGAGCAGGCTCGGGTTTGAGCAAACTAAAGACTCGCAGAAAGAACTAGTGAGAAAAGATGCCTCAAGTTAGAACCGTTTTTGTCTCCAGATCCAGATGGAAGGTCTTCCAAAGCCACAGCACTCACTCTAGGGTAGTCTCGATAAGTCCTATGTCCGCGGCCAGGTCAGACCCCAGAGACACTTGGGGTGGAGCACAAAAGTCACTGATAAAAACATCCAATACAATGACTCTCTGACAACTTTTAGGAATGCTTGCTAGGGCATGGGGTGTTGTCTATTCCTGCAAGCTTTAAAGGAATAAGGCTCCTAGCCACAGAAGTTACAGCAGATAATGGAAAGTTGCATGGAGATGTAATCCAGAAAATGTTAAAATCCCCTTCGGAGAAATTACAGAGAATCTTAAAAAGAGAATGTTAAAGACCACCTTTTTATTTATTTATTTATTTATTTATTTATTTATTCTTTTGGGGGTCAAATTTGGCAATGCACAGGGGGTACTCCTGGCTTTGCAGACCACATTTTAAAGCTTTTCCTCTCCATAGATTGTTGCTACTCATAAGAAGTATAGAGAAAATTCCTAAGTACTTGCTCTTTAGAGTGTTTGAGAAAGACACTGGCAGTTTCCGAGGCTCAAATATACATAGGAACTGTTCTAAAGCTTCATTTCTCACCCCTTCCCTCCAGAAGGAATTCAGGAAACTTACTGTCATTTGTTAATGAGTCAAATACTGATACAGACTGAAGGGGGGAACTGAGCTGTTTTAAAACTTAAGTCACTGCTACAAAGAACCTTTTCCATGTTAGTGGTTTCTGAGAATGGAGAAATGAAGACACTTCTCAGAGGAAGACAAGTGGATGGCCAATAGGCACTTGAAAAAGATGCTCAGCATCGTTTACTATTACTTATTCTCTAATAAGAAATCCAAATCAACACAGTGAGTTATCATCTCATACCAGTGAAAATGGTACATATCAAAAATAGTAGGAACAATCTGTATTGGTGCTGATGGTGAAAAAGAAATCTCATCCACTGTTGGTGTGAATGTTTGGTTCAACCCCTGTGAGAAACAGTATGGAGATTCCTCAGTAAACTTAGAATTAAATTGCAGTATTACCCAGCAATTCTAATTTTGGGCATCTGACTCCAGGACTTAAAAAAATTAATTCAAAAGGACATATGCACACCAATATCCATTGCTGCATGTAGTACAATAGCTAAGATGTGGAATCGGTGTCCAACGACAGGTGAAGGGCTTATGAAGATGTGGTAAATATATACAATGAAGTACTATGCAGATGCAAGGAATGATGAAATCATGCAATTTGCTGCAATCTGGTTGGAACTGGAAAATACCATGTTGAGTGAAGCCAGAAGAAGAAGGACAAACGTGGGATGTTCTCACTTATCTATGGTATATAGAATAACTGGATGAAGGAAATGTATTGTAGTAAAGGGGAATGCCTAGATCGATCCCAGAGTTTAGAGAGGAGAAGGAGCGAAATCCAGAGGCTAAGGAAGAAGAAGAGATTGGGAAGTAATGGGCAAACAGGGATCAGTGCTTCAATTATACTGGTGATGTGGGAGAATGTTAAATCCACATATCCAAAACATGACTCAACAATGCTGAAAATATGAGATCTAAGCTGCACCTACCAAATTTGTAATGTTCCGTGTAATGTGTAATGGGGTTAGATGCCCTTCAAGGTGACAGGTGGGATGGGGTGGGGTAGGGATGGAATATGGGAACACTAGTGGAGGGAATTTGACACTGGTGGTGGAATTGGTGTTGAAATATTATATTCCTAAAACTCAACTATCAATATCTTTGTAAGTCACTGTCACTGTCACTGTCCTCCCGTTGTTCATCGAGCGGGCCCAGTAACCTCTCCATTGGAGACTTTGTTATTACTGTGTTAGGCATATCTAATACATCATGGGTAGCTTGCCAGGCTCTGCCGTGCGGGCAAAATACTCTCGGTAGCTTGCCGGGCTCTCCGAGAGGGGCGGAGGAATCAAACTCGGGTCGGCCATGTTGGCTGCATGCAAGGCAAACGCCCTACCGCTGTGCTATCACTCCAGCCATCTTTGTAAGTCATGGTTTTATTTTAATTAAATAAAAATTATTTTAAAAAATTTGTAAAACTTGTTCACATCTTTAAGATCTAGAAGGGTTTAGCATTATAAAATAATCTCATTGTAAACTCATATTTAATGATGGGGGTTCTTAAGAACAGTCACTTCTTTTTTGGCAAACCCACTGTAACTTGACAAGTATAGGTGTTGACAATAGATTCACTATCAGAAAGAACTAATGAGGCTTCTTTGCCAAGGGAAAGGAGATCATCAGCTCTGGAATGCCCACCAGTCAATGCAAACTGGTTTATGTCATTTACTGAGACTGATTATGCAAGTTTTAAAATTTCATTGGATTATGATAAAATATCCACTGGGTAAAACTGGTCAAATGAATCCACTAGACAAGTGTTTCCTTTCAAAGTATAAGAAATATTGTTAGTAGTTAGACACATAAAATTTTGCTTGATGTTTTTTCAGCATGGCTGGCTATGGTTCTTGCAAACTTGGGGAAAAATCATACCAAGCCAAAAATAATCTTTCCTTTTAGAGTTTTCATAAACATTTTCTCTAAGTTTATAAGAAGAAATAACCTGAAAATTGGTTTAGTCTTTTCCATAAGGCCCTACACACAAGCTGGTTATACAGTTTTCTTAACAGGTTTGGCAACCAAAGACAACTCTCAGAGTTTTGGCATTTTCCGTGTTCACTTCTGTGCTATTACCAAAATAATATGGATTTCCCCTCTTCTTTGAGATCTGAATATTATAGTCATTTAAATGATGAAACTAAAATACAGATATTTCATAAAATACAGATATTTTCTTGTGTTGTAATTATTTTTGGTATTTGGGTCACAGTTGGCTATGTTCAGGGCTTGGTCCTGATTTGGTGCTCAGGGCCCACTCCTTGCAGGGCTTAGGGAATCATGTGCAGTGCCGAGATTGAACCTGTTCGGCTTCATGCAAAGCAAAGCAAGCACCTGTATATCTGCTGTACCATTTCTCTGCATCCCCCAAGAGATATTTTATGAAAATATAGAAAGAATAAAAATCAGAATTGTGTCTGAAGTTCTAAAACAAAATTGTTCCCATGAAAACTTTGGTTGAATGAAGTCTTACATGTAAAAGATGCTAATTAACAAAACACAAAAATCCTGGGGCTCAGGGATGTGGCTGTGGACACCACAGCAAACTGTATAATCCCTGAACATTGTTACTATGACAACAACAACAAAAGGAAAAGTAGGGAGAGAATTAGTATAGATGGTAATATTTGTCATGTGTGCTCTAGCACAAAACAAGTTTTCTTAAAGAAAACACACAAAAAAAATCCATTGATAAAGATTTCCATTTTAACAGAAAGTAGGGGTCTGACAATTTCTTTAACTTATTCACTCTTCCATTGTGGTAATACTTTGCCCAATTATAAAATTTTATTTATTTTTCCTATATTTTTTAACATGAATAAGAAGGCTAAAAAATTCCCCAAAATATAAATGAATAGAAAAACCTGAAATGATAAATAGAAAACTATTAGAAAGTCCCTCACATATGCCATTTTTCTAACCATTCTTTTCTGGGTCTTTTTTCCTGGACCCTTTTTAGTCCTTCAACTATCAGCAACTTTTTTGCGGGGAGGGTACCCCTGGAGATGCACAGGGGTTACTTCTGGCTCTGCACTCAGAAATCACTCCTGGCGGTGCTCAGGGGACCATATGGAATGCTGGGAATCGAACCTGTGTCGGTCGTATGCAAGGCAAACGCCCTACCTGCTGAGCTATCGGTCCAGCCCCTATCAGATACTT